CGTATGATTCGATGCATGTCGCGATTGCATGATCGAAGGAGTTCGATGTCGATCGAACTCCTAATTAATTAATATATATATATATATATATATATATATATATATATATATATATACACATGCATTTCGAACGCGATGTATCGCAGGATCGAACTCCTATATTAATAGGAGTTCGATCCTACACACTTTTTTTGGTATATTATATACATGTTTTGTCTGTATGCATGCATGTTTTTTCGACACGTCGTTTGCATGCTGCTTGCTTTGTGCTGCATGCTCATGCAATGTACATGCTAGCAGCCGCTTAAGATCGAGCATAGCTTAAATTCAACCATCGCGAAGCCATGCACCGGGATCGGTCGAGATCTCCTGTTGATGCTGCCGTCGAGTGGCGGTACAACTGGGAGAGTGACGGGGCATCGTGGTGGAAGAACTGGTGGCCATGCACGAAGGCCTGGATCCGCAAGAAGATCCGACAGGATCTGTTGCAAAGACCTGCAGAAGAGGAAGCAGCTGATGGTCAGCAGTCGCCGCGAAAGCGGAAAAGATCTGGGGATTGATCGAAGCGGCTTAATTAGAACATGCATGTTTTGCCCAGCTTGGGTCTCAATAAGTAGGATATCAGAGCAAGTGCCCGAAGAGAAATGCGCCTCAGGTGCATGATCATGCTTGGCACAAAATAGAATGGCGATTCTATCCGCATGCACAGTTTGCAGGGTTTGCTTGTCTTCCTTCGACCGCTGCCATGTGTCGCCGGGCCGGTTGGCTCAAGTTTTTGGACAGATCTGGTGGGCGGCCCGCTTTGCTGGAGGCCGGGCTGCCAGGATTCATGCATGGCATGGAGTGTCACAAGTTCTTAGGAGGCCACGTCTCCCAGTGGGAGGCGACCTCCTGCACGGCATGCATGTTCGCAGGATTAAGTGCAGACTTTTTCATGTACATGTGCTTGTGAAGTGCTTGTGAAGCATTTTGGCTCATGAGCACCATGATCACTAACCGAGCTGCCAACACGGCAAGTGTTGAACAGGCTGCTAAAGCTTTGAGAGGCTGCTGCACAAGCCTGCACTCTGGGTACAAGGAAACAGACTGTGAGAAGATTTGCTCCTCGTACGAAGCTTTCATCTTGGACTTGTTAGACTTGACCCCGAGGCCCACGAAATTGTTGCTTGAAAAGGCTTGCCTCAAGGCTTTCGAGGCCACGGGTCCCAGTGAAGCTTCTTTTTTCGGCAGACAGCTAGCGGCAGCGGTCCAGTTTTGTAGAATCAAGGCGAAAAGCGTCTCGACAGGAGTTCGCACTCATGGTTCGGTGCTTCGCATCATACAAAAAATGGAAAAAATAAGGCTGCAGAACAAAAGTTCCAATTGGGACATATATGGAAGGGTGCGAAGCCCACCGTAGCAGCAGTAGCCGCACACGCCGTGGCTGCTGCCAGGCCCAGCAGATCTCGAGCAGCAACCGCTGCTGCTGCTGCTGCCAAGCCTACTAGGGCAGTTTCCATCGGATCCGTGTCGTCCACCGGAAAACAGTCCGCTGCTGACATCTTCGCGATGTACGGCTTAACCGGCGAGCCCGAGAAGATGGAGCACAGAAGCTCGGCAGCGAGCGGCTTGGAGGGGCCCGAGGAGATCGAGCAGATAAGCTCGAGTGAGGAGGTCCAGCCTCTTCCAAATGATCAGCCTGATGCTGCTGTGACGTTCTTCGATCAAAAAGCATGCACATGGAAGACAGTCGACAAGAGCGGCGAAATGCATGAGGAACCAGGCCATGCTCGCCCAGGTGTTCCAGACCGTGTGCTTCGACACCATGACGAGATCCTGGCCAGGCCTGTTGCAGCCCTTGAGCCCTTGTCTTCCCGAGGCTTCACCGAGACGGAGGACAAGGAGGCTGGCAAGAAGAAGAAGAAGAACAACAAGAAGAAGGACGCGGGCGACACGAAGCCTAAGGCCAAGTCGGCTCCGAAAGCCAAGGCAAATCCAAGGCGAAGGCCAAAGCCAAGCCCAAGCAAAAGGCCGAGGCAGAGGTCAAGCATGGGGGCGGCGAGGTGGCGACGAAGACCGATCCGGAGCCTGATGAAGCTGAGGCCAAGTCGAGTTCCAAAGCCAAGGGCGGATCCAAGAAGGCCAAGGTTCGCAGTGCCGAGGACGATCCTGAGATTCGGGCCCAAAAGATTCTCAAGAAGCCAGCCGCTCTTCAGGCGGCGGAGGGTGAGATTCTCAAGAAGCCAGCCGCTCTTGAGGCGGCGGAGGCTGGAGATGAAAATGGAAATGGAAATGAAGAGGAGAAGGGGGGCCCGGAGATTCAGGACAAGCCCAATGGGTGGAAGAAGATGCTGTTCCAGAGGGGTGGCAAGCAGAAAGGGACCTACTTCATCCTGGTGTCGCCCCAGAACTCGCGATATCGCAGCCGTCCCGCGGCAACGGCTGCCGGCTACGTGTCGGAGTGATATTTAAATATTTAGAGGGTTTGAGCTAGGAAAAAAGTGCCATGCTTGACACGAGGGTTATCAGTGCATGCATGTTTGTTTCTGTCCTTCTGCTTCTGCTCTCATGTCAACATGTCAGTTCTGTATACATGTTTCGTCTCTGCAGGTACTGCCGTCGACGTCCTGGACAAGCTGCTTCTCTTCCGGGTCTTCTCCGGCCGGTGCCCAACCCAGTGTTCCTGTTCAGTTGCATCGACTGCCATGTTTTACATAATTCTGTAGTTTGGGATGGCAACATAAGTGGGGATTCTTGTCTGGTCGAGGAGTCACGAATTAATGCGCTTTTGGCTGGCTGCTACGTCCTCCTAATGCACCCAAGAGCTTCAAAGGAGGATGCAGCATGATGTGCATGACCCGCTGCAGGCACGGCCAGATCTCTTCGAGCTGCCGCTTCACTTCCGGCTGGTGCCCTCCCAGTGTTTGCGAAGTGCATGAGGGCTTGCAGGTTCGGAGGGTCTTTGTCAGAATGGTTTCAACTTCAGGTTTCATGTTTCAGGGTTAAGTGTCAGTTTCAGCTTTGATGTTTCAGGAATCGGTTGCAGTTTCAGGTTTGATGTTTCAGGGTTATAAGGAGGACTGTCGTCCTCCTGTGATGTTCAAGTTGGATTTCCATCAGTTTCAGGTTGGATGTTTCTAGGAGGACTATTAGTCCTCCTATGATGCATGCATTGGATTCCGCAGGGGTTGCAGGCTGTATATATAGGATGCATGGCACATGCATCCTGATTCCGCACCCCGTGAGCTTTTGCTATCAAGCTTGATAGGGGCCCACCTGCATTTCGAGGATCCCTCGCGATCGCCATGGGAGCCGCACAGAGCTCTGGCAACGGGGCCCAGGAGATCTTGGCGGCGGTCAACAGGCTTTCGACGGCCATGGAAAGCCTGACGCCGCCCCAGCCTGCTGCACCGGGGCCCAACACAGGGTCCGTGCCAGCCCCACCCCCGTTCCCCCAGCCTGCTGCACCGGGGCCCACAGGGTCGACCGTGCACGTGACAGCCCCGTTCCCCCCCACGCCACCGCCGTCGCAAAGCCATCACGACCAGAGCCGTCTGCGGTATTGCAACTTCTGCAAGCAGGTTAGCTACTGGCGGAAGGGCATCTGCCTCAATGAAAGCTGCCGTGATCCTCGGAGGCATTTATTATAGCTGTTTCTCATGGTTTGGTTGTAACTATAATTTTAAAATCATCGAGCCCTGCAGTTGACCTACGTCGACGTGAAGGACCTGAATGTTGCGAAGACGTGGGCAGGGAGGGAGATCACCTCCAGCTCGGATATGGCATGGTGTGTGCAGAACCAGCGCAAGAAGAAGAACAAGGGTGGCTGGTGTTGCATTATGCATGCATGTTGATGTCTGTGCTATAGATGCTTCCATGCATGTTTGTGTGTGTCTCCAGCTGAGGTCTCAAACGCAAAGCTTGGTGGGCGGATCGCAACAATAAATGGTCCAAGGCAAAGGGGGATGGCGAGGAGTGGTCCAAGGCAAAGGGGGATGGCGACGAGGATCTCGAAGAGAAGGAAGATGAGGCACCGGATACTCATCATGAACCCCTCCCGGGTTCGAAGGGCCCCGATGGCAATGATCCTGACCCAGACAATAAGGGCCCAGGTTTTGGCGGTGCAGGCGGTGGATCAATTGGCGGTGCAGGCGGTGGATCACTGATCCCAATGCTGACTGTGTAATGCACAGGAGGCACGATCGATCGTATGAGCATCGGATGAAAAGACTCCTTAGGAGTTGCATGCTTTGCACTCCTGTTGGCTAAAGGAGTCTGCTGCATGCCTTGCATTCATGCACCATGCATGGATGCATGCAGGTACATATCCTACACAGCTCTGGAAAGGAGGCTCGCCCGGGTCTCCTGCACAAGAGCTTGGTCCCGGGATCTGTCAACATGTTTGTTTCAGCTGTAGGAGGAGAGTGCAATTGCTTGCAACATGCATGCAATGTTCCTCCAGGATCTATATATATATATATCCTTTAAACCCTAAACCCTAAAGCCTCAACCTTAAATGATATTAAAGATACTACAAACATATTAATATATGTTACTTTATTTAGTGCATGTATATAATATATATATATATATATATATATATATATACATATATATATATATATATGTTACATCATATGCAAACAAGTGATATGCTTGCCTGACAATGGGTGGCGGCTGCTGTGGCAGCAGGAGGCAAACCTCCTAGTCTCCTGGATCGTCGAGGAGATTTAAATTAAACCTATATATGTATATATATATATATATATATATATGTATTATTTACAAACCCGGACAACCGGAATCAGAATGGCCCAGCCTGCCTGTTGCCGAGGTTGCAACGCCGATGTCCGGAGGATCTTCGACCAGGCGCTTTTTGCCCGTTCCGATTTCTAATTTTTGAAAGAGTCAGAAATTTAACTCCATTTAACTGGGATTTAACTTTGTCTTCTTTTAAACAAATTATGAATAGCTCAAGTTAAATGCCCAGTTAAATGGAGTTAAATCCCTACTTCTTTCCAATGTCTGCACTTATGCGTCGCCAGGACCACCACGACGGTGGTGATGCCGGAGGAGGCTGGATTTCGAGCTCTCCTGATGGGTCTCACCGCCGAGCAAAGGGCACTTATCGGGCGATTGTTGGTGGAGATAGACGGCCCAAGAGAGCCGTTTAATCCTGCTCCGGAAACCCCACCGCCCCCACCCCATGCTCAGGATCCTTGTCCACAGAGGTGTCACCAGTGCAGGGAGCAATGGTGCACTCGAGGCCTGGAGCCGCACAAGCACCACAATTGCACCCGATGCTTCCGCAAGAGTCGCCGGGGCTAGAGGGCAAGATGTCATATCCATGGCATGTATATAATATGCTATGAAGAAATGGGAGCTTGCCCTGCAATTGCTGCATTTGCAAGTGACATGCATATTCAGGTGCTGCATTTGCTGCATTCCCCGTACCTAAAACTTGCCATGGCAGTGCTCAGATCTTTAGCTTAAAGTCTCACCCTTCTACAGGTACCAACTTTCTGAGGATGCTCGCAATAAGTATCGTGGCGAGCCTCCTGCCCTTGACCGCTTTGGTCATGGGGGTTACCCGACACACGGCGAAGGCCGGCCCCAAGGCCAAAACCGGGGCGAGCAAGGCCAAGGCCAAGCCCACGGCAGCGAAGGCCAAAACGCAGCCGGTGCCCGTGACCGTGAAAGTCGAGCCGGGTGCTGAACAAGCCGACGCCTCTGAGAAGGCAAAGGACCCCGTCAAGGGCAAACTCAGCAACCTGGTAACACAATGCAAGAATGCAGTGAAGAAGTTGGAGGATCACGACAGCGGCAAAGCAACTCTCAGCGAAGAGGAAGTCGGCAAGCTCAGAAGCAAGAAGAAATTCTACGACGACTATTGCCAATTGCCTCGGAATGCCACCGAGCAAAGGATGCAAATGCTCTCCTCCTGGGAGCAAGACAAGACAGGGAAGATGTGGGCCGAGAAGATCCAGTCCCTGGAGAACGACAAGGCGACCACCGCCAGCAATGTGGGTGGGTTCTTGTCTCGTGCCTTGGCCTTGCAAGTTGTTTCGAATACAGTGTGTGTTCATGTATATATATATATATATATATACGTGCAACTAATCAATTGAAGTCCGCAGGAGTTCTCCGGAACTCCTAAGAACAATTCGCAAGAAAGCAGCCGAACAGATCGATTGGGCGATCAGGAGAGACTAAGTAAGTCTTAGCAATTAATACAAGGAGGTTGCAAGGTAGGTTCGTTGCAGCCTCCTTAATTGTTCTGGTGGGATTCCATGCACTTTTTGCATCGATCTCGAGCATCAAGTAGCCAACCATATGCATGCTCTCCTGGCTGTATACAAGAGGATGAAAAGGTTGCGGTGTGGGGTCAGAAGAAGTTTGTTTTTGTCTTTATAGATCGCATAGCTCTGTATATACTGTAGTTTCTTGTTTTAGAGAATATATGGAACATGCAGGCATACATAATAGGAGGATGGGCATGCTTGGCTTCTCACCCGAGGTTGGGAGATCGCCGACCAGGAGAACCTGAACCTTCAGATCCCCGAGCAGAAGAAGCTTTGGGAGTCCATCCTCGAGGAAATCCCCTATGATGAGGACTGGAACCAAGAGGATAATCGTGAGCGAGCCCTTGCAAAAGCCGGGGAACGTCGCTACCACTACGGCAAAACCAAGATGACAACGACAACGGACACAGTTCGTCACAAAGAGACGATGCAGGCCGGGTACAACCTGAACGACAAGGAGAAGAAGCAGGCCCTGCAGGACAGCCCCAATCAGCCTTCAATCGAGGTCCGGGATCCCCTTTTGGTTGCCTTGAGGCAAGAGCTGCAGACCATGAACTCCGGGAAAAAGGCTGTCGAGAGAAACCTGAGCACGATCAAGGATCTCCAGGTTTTCGCGAACACTAAGGGCCTGAGCAAGATGAAAGATGCTGCCGCAGATGCCCTCACACCACTCGACGAATTCCTGGTCACCTTGAGGGAGGACTTTGCAAAGCTCGATGCCCTGGACGTCGGGAGCGAGGAGTCGGTCCAGCAGGCCAAGGACATTAACATGCAGGCAGGTGTGCACGTGGATGCTGCTGGAGTTGAAGACGATGAACGAGTGAAGGCAGTACTAGGTCTTGCTTATAAGGTTCCTGGTTTTTGAACAAAGGAGCGGCGGCATGCATGGACGATCGCTGCCAGGCAAAAAAAATCACCAGATTTTGCATGCACATGCTGCATGTGCACGGCTTGACCACTGTCTTTGTGTACTTAATTCGTGTTCGCTGCAGCCGTTTGCCTCCAACTTTTATAAGTTTTGTTTCTTTAAATCGATCATGATGCAACAAGGCCTCCGGCTCATCTGCAGGAGGTGGACCCTCCTCAGAACAAACCGAAAAAGAAGCGATCTCCTCATATACAAAAGCCCAGCTCAGTCGCCAGGAGTCTTTGTTTAATTGACTCCTCATATCGGTTGCAGTCCAGAGCCATGTTGCCTTCGAAAAAGCACCAAACAGATTTGAAGGAGGTGGAAGCTTCAAAAAGGTTAAGAACACGCATCGGCAATTTGATGCTGAGCAATACCATTTCTGGTATCGAAGCTAGCCGCCTTTTTCGAGATGCGGACTTAGCCAATGCAGAAAATGTCAAGGATTTGGCTGCATGTGGCACCGGCCGAGCGGATGACATCCCTAAGAAAAGGGATTTCGTGCGCCGCCTTGGCATTAACCGGCATTGGCCGGATCTATATTAGTGCAAGCTGCCGCTTTGGTGCATGGCTCAACAAGTGGCTACCGAGGAGTGGGTGCCACTGTGGCTTCCCCATGAGCTGCTGCATGCACTGGATTCCAAGGCTGCCGGCTTAAACACCATGAGGGATTTAAGCTGCATGGAGCCGGGCGAGGTGGCTCTGCTCCGCCAGTGCTGTGAGAAGGCTGGTTTGGAAGAGGGCTCTGCAGTGGCCCTGGGGATTTGGGGCGATGGGGTTCCGATCACTCGTGATCGTACCCAGTCGGCGGAAGTCTTATCCCTCAACATTCTCAGCCACTCTCAGCGAGGTGCATTGCGATTTCCCTTAGCCTTGATGCAAAAGCATTTGATGTTGAAGGAGTTCACATGGGATGCTGTCCTGTCGATCATGGCCTGGTCCTTCGCTTTTCTCGCAGCAGGCATTTCGCCATCGAGTCGCCACGATGGGACGGCATGGTTGCCTAGCGACAAAGCAAGGAGGGCACGAAGCGGATTGCAACTACCCAGGGCATTCCTGATTCAAGTCCGAGGCGACTGGGCCTTCTACAAGCAGACGTTGTACATGCCGGCCTGGCCAGCAGCAGCTGCATTGGTTCGATGTTTTAAATTGCTTTAAGATTATTGGGCTTTTTTATATATAGGAGATAGGGGGGTCTCCTTTATGCTAGCCTCCTTTATAAAGGAGGCTAGCTTATACAAATGTTCATTTAAATTTAGATATGCTGGAAACGTAAATATATAGAGCTATTTTTGGGTGATATGTTATAAGACATGCATGATCATAGACATCGATGATATATTTTTCCATCTAAGGAACAGGAAAGATGGCTGCTGCTGGTTGTGCAACATCAAGCCCTCCGAGCTGCATATGGTGGCTCCTAACTCTCCCTGGATGCACAATCGCAAGTCGCACTGGGATGCCGTGTGCGAGATGCCCAGGAAGAGCCCTCTGCTGGGTTCTCCTTTTTTTTCGCTGGCAATGTGCCAGCTCGATTGGCTCCACATAGTGGACATCGGGGTGGCCCTCGAGTTTCAAGGAAGCTTATTTCACTACGTGTGCTTGAAGAAACTGCGAGGCAACCTGCAAGTGGCATGCCGTGAGGTGTTTTTCATGATCAAGGAATATTATTCCGCCAACAATGTCGGAAGCCAGTTGGGCGAACTGAAGCCCACTATGCTCAAGGGTAAAGGAAAACCATACCCAAAGCTTCGGGCGAAAGCGGCGGAGAGCCGAGCATTGGTGCCGTTCAGCGAGATCCTGGCCCAGGCCGTGCTAGTCCCCGAAGAGCCCTTCGACAACATGCTCATGAAAGCTGCCAGCTCCTTCGCTCGCTGCTACGATCAGCTTTCCAAGGACTCCTTTCAGCCGGCCACTTTGGCACAGGAGGCCTTCGAATTCGCTTCGAGATACGTGGATCTCAACAAGGAGGCGGAGAGACTAGGCATGAAGCTTTTCAAAATTAAGCCTAAGTTGCACATGTTTTTGGAATTCTCTTACTGCTGCACCTGCTCTCCTTCAGCGAACTGGTGCTACAGGGATGAGGATTTTGCTGGCAAGGTTGCAATGGCAGCTTTTCCGCGAGGCGGTGCCAACACCGTGCGAGCACTGGCAGAGTCTTACTTCTTACGCTGGAAATCCATGTATGCAGTTCCAGAATTGTGCTGATCCATCGGCTTCTCGATCTGCGAGTTGGGGAAAAGTCCGACTAATTCATGCACGCTCATGATATCACGAATATATTATTATTCGACACTTTATAAATATACTCATATTGTAGCATGCATGATCGATATATATATATATATATATATATATATATATATATATACATACATACATTTCATGGCATGATCGCATGTGCATGGAGGCCCATGTGGTCTCCTCATTTCTAAAGGAGACCTGCCGGAAGACATGGATCTCCTAGCTGTGCACTTATAATATCACATGCATGCATGCATTTGCATGGATTTCTGCATGTCGGTCATGTTTAATATTCATGAAATCATACAATTATATATATATATATATATATATATATATATTTTTAATAGTAAAACAAAACATAGCCATATATTCGACTTCCTCAGCGCTGTCTGGGGGAACAAAACTATGCCCAAAAATTTGCAAAGCAAAAGAAAAGCAAGGGAAACATCAAGTCGTGCCTATCCTCGCCCTGCACACACGCCGCGGTCGCCCGAACCTTCCTTAATTTAGGATTGTGTGAATCTATTCTAAATAACGGGTGTCTGCCTTAATTAAAGCTTGCTTCCTTATATTTTAAGGACTATAGTGCTTAAATAAGGAGTATACTCCTTATTTGAGGAGTGTACTCCTTAATTAAAGCTTGTGAATAAGGACTATAGTCTTTAAAAAGTGGTCATTGCAACTTTTAAAGACTCTTGGGCCGTCTGGGCATATGCGGGCCGGTGGGCGCCATGATCGGATACCTGTTGGAATTGAGGGTTGAGGCCTCCTCCCTTCACCGGTGGCTCTTCCCGGCGGATTTGTGCCCCGCCACGATGGCCGGCCAGCCAGTGGGGGAGCAGCAGGTGGCCTTCAACCCCCTGGACCCCCTGGCTCACCAACCAATCAAGGCGTGCCTTCTCGCCCTGGCCGACAGAAGGCGGCACGAGGCCATCAGCAGGCGCTTGACCGGGGGATCGACCACACTGTCCCGCGCCAGCTGACCAAGGGCAGGACCAGCAACGCCTCGTATGGTGCACTGATTCGGCCTGGCGAGCAGTGCCCTTTGTGCAGGGTGGAGCTTACTCCCCTGCACATTGCTCAGGAGTGCTTGTGGTGGCACCTGGGCGCGTCCCGCTTTCGGAGCGCCGATCTCCGCCGAGGCGCAACCGCCTCAGGAGGAGATGGAGGCTGGGGAGTTGGAGGCAGATGATGCCATGGGCACGCCGGACGGGCTTCCGCGGATTAGACGGAGGCAGAGGCGCGGAGACCTGAGCAGCCTGCTCGTGCAGGCCCCACCCCAAGAGCCGGCTGGCTCAATGGACACAGATGGGGAGGCGGCCGGATCCACCAGTCATCCCCCGGCAGGGGATGCCGACTCCCTTCTGGCGGCGGAGGCCGAGAGCCCGGCAGAGGTGAACCCTTCGCCTAACCCTCTGCCGCCTCCGGAATGGCTCTACCGCCTCGACGTGGAGTGCCGGGCAGGAGGGCAGCTGCAGGTTATCAGACTGCCTGTGCCAGGACATGCAACCCCCACGGAGTCTGGAAAGGTTGCGCATGCGCACGGGCTTTCACTTGGGGGCCCTGCGACTCCTCCCAGAGGAGACGTCGACACCGCTCCCTCTGCGAGACCCCTTGTGCATGAGGGTGCCATCGACAACGGCCAGGCTGTATGCCACCACAGCCGAGGGGGTCGAGCTGCATCAGGACAGCACCCCCCCAGTGGTGAGCGTGGACATGCTCTGGTGCATGGCGTGTCGTGTGAGGGCACCCAGCCCGGAACACATGCAGGCACACCTCATGACGGCAGCTCACGTGCTGGCCGTCGCAGAATACCTCGCCTCTTTCATAGAGGTATGGGATGTTTCGACTCCCTCCAGGACGTGTTCCACTCCTGGTTTGAGGACGTGTCACACTCCTCGATGTGCTGCCCTGTCAGTCTTGCCGTAGAGCCGTAGCTCAGGGCGGGGACGTGTTACACTCCCCAGGACGTGCTTGCACTCCTTAGCACATCAGGGATGAGCATCTCTCCCGTAGGCTGTAGCCTGTTCCGCCCACGGGCGATGCCCTCCAAAGGAGGATGACCGTGCAAAGCACGGTTAATTCGGTGCACGCCGAGGGCCCACGGGCCGCGGACGCTCGCCGCCTCCCGACAAAAGGAAAAGGAAGAGGTTTTGGAAAAGGAAAAGGATATGGAAAGAAAGGAGGAAAAAGCGTCAGGCAGGCCGAAGGGAAAGGCTACGAGAGTGACAAAGGAAAAGGAAAAGGTGGACAAAACGGACCTGTATGTTTCAATTGTGGTAAGACCGGACATTACTCTTCGGAGTGTTGGTCGCCACCGAAAGGAAAAGGAAAAGGAAAAGTTCGCAACGTCCAAGAGACAGGCGAGGAAGAATGGTATGAAGAGCAACCAAGTTCTTCTACACAGGCACAAGCAAAGCCACCACCAGGAGCAAAAGGAAATGAGCAAGTGCGTAGGTTGGTGACAACGCCTATGCCAGTAATTGAAGAAGTGTTCGACGATGAAGAAGAGTACGTCGATCTTGTAGGAATGTTCGAAGAGATGGTGATGGACTATGCCGCAAGAGCAGTGAAGGTCAACACAGTTATCTTCATGTCAAGCATGGTCGATGAGAGTGATGAAGAAGATTATGAGAAAGATGAACTTCACAAGTGGTATGAAGATCTGCAAGTGGACAAGCAGAATGCCAAGGAGGCAAGAGAAAGAGAAAGACTTTTCGGAAGTGTTCAAGATGAAGAGCCAGAAGTGCATCGAGTAAGAGCTATCAATTCAAGCTACTCAGAACTCGTTGAAGTCGTTCTTGATTGTGGAGCGGATTGTCATGTACTTCCGCTATGCTATTACAGTGAAGACTTAGGAACAGTTGAGTTCCCAGCTTTGAGAATGGTCATTCAAGATGCTCAAGGCAACAGGATAAGAACCACTGAAACAAGAGCGAACATCACATTCGAATTTCAAAGGACAGATGGAAGAGTGATAAAGGTGAGAGATTCAGCTGTGTTCGGAGATGTAACACAACCACGATTTGCAGTAGGCAAGTTGTGGAAAGTTGGATGGGGACTTGATCCTCTAGACCAGTTCAATGCTTACCTGAAGAAAGGTTCAGCAAGAGTGCCAGTGAGGTTTGCAAGAAACTCAACAGTGACGGACCTCAAGATCTACAGGGCACAAGTGAAGGTTGAAAGTGATGAACCACAAGTGAGAAAGCTGACGTTGATCAAGCAGATGGAAGATGATTTCGAGAAGATGAAGTATCATCAAGGATGGTTTTTCATGTCAGATGGGAAGCCAGCAAGGATCGATTATGACAAGTATGTGACGTATGACCCCACATATGATGATGTGAAAGCGTTCAAGTTCAGAACTACTTTGGTATCGAGGTACGATGGTGACAACATCGTATGGAGCGAACTGGAGTTTGTGGAGTGCGCTGAGAAGTGGGAAGACCGAGAAGAGATTGCGATAGACGCAGTTGAAGAGAACTCGGTGATCATCACGATCTTGGAGAGAAAGTCTCTAGGACTTGAAGAGTATGGTGATTATGAAAGAACATCTTCAAAGAAGAAAAAGAAAGAGCAAGAGAAAGAAGTGGAAGCAGCAGACGTGGAGATGGAGGTTCACAAAGAAGTAAAAGACACAAAGAAGAATATAGAACAAGTGGAAAAGGAAGCAGCTGAAGCAATGGAAAACCTGTTTCCTAGTGAACCGCCTGCAGAAGAAGATATGAAAGAGTCGAAGAAAATTGAAGAGCAACTGCCAAAGTTAGGAGAAAAGATGGAAGAAGCTATGATTGTGGCAGGAGTTGAACTCAGCCCAGAAAGTTCACTCAAGGAGATGAGAACAGCATGTGAATTCCTGAAGATAGGAAAGACTGGAAGCAAGACTCAGATATGGCAAAGGTTGAAGCAAGCTATTTCAGCAAACAAGATGAAAGAGTTGGTCGAAATCTCCAAAGGACTAGAACTAGAATTCACAAGAGAACCAAAAGGAGAAAAGAGACCAGAGATGCCAACTGAGGAAGAAAGAAAGAAGCACGAACTGACACACCTACCAAAAGCTGATTGGTGTGAAAGCTGTCAAGCAACAAGATCAAGGGAAGACAATTTCGATGTATCTGAGAAGAAGAATGAAGCATCGTTAGTTTCAATGGATTTCAAGTTGACTGGAACTCGAGATGAAGAGAATACAAAAGACAACAAAGATGCATTGACAATCGGACTTGTGATGGTTGACGAAGCAACAAAGTTTGTACATGTCATTCCAGTAGCGACAAAAGAAGTGACGGCATACGTTGTCGAAGAAGTCTGCAGAGTGCTTATGCTGTTAAATTCGAAGGTCATTCTGAGAACTGACACAGAACCAGCAATGATTTCTCTGAGAAAGAAAGTACAAGGAATACGGAAGATGAAGAACCTTGATACAGAGATACAAGATGTAGCACCAGATGAACACCAAGGATTGCAAGTTGAAAGATGGGTTCAAACAGTTCGGAACTTATCCAAGACACTGGTGTATGGAGTTGAATCACAAGCGAAAGTGAAGATTACTTCAGAAAGTACGCTGTATCCATGGGCAGCGAGACATGCAGCATTCCTGCTGAACAGGTTTGTTGTGAAGAAAGGATCAACACCTTTTGAAGTGCTATTCGACAGAGAGTACAAAGGAACATTAGCGCCATGGGGAAGCGTAGTATTGGCAAAGCCTGTACGAAAAGTCAAAGAAAAGGGAGAAGCATGGAGAAAAGGAATCTTCGTTGGAAAAGACTCGGTGAACAACCTGAACCTGATAAGCACAAGACAAGGAATCATCAAGAGCAGAACGATAAGACAGTGTACGCCACTGTATGATGTCGAAGTGCTAGCAGAAGCAACAGGAACACCGTGGAACTACACACAGGACATATTGTTAGGAAGAAAATCGACGAAGAGATTGCCACCACACAGTGGAATCGAGATAGCAA